GGGTTAGCAAGTACTCTATCAATTCTTTCTTGGACATTTGCCCTACCTATTCTATTGTTTGACTAGGTAAAACAAGGTCCTTTGAATTCAAGTTCCATCACCCTACAAAGTGATTCATCAATTTAAGCATTTCCTCTACCTTTTTTTGAGCCTTTCTTGCCCCCCTAATTTTATCCCGGATGGAACCTACTACATTGAAATCACCAACAATTAACTACGGGAGATTGTAATTACCTAACATATTCCTCAAAGTTTTTCAGGTTGGTTTCGATTGAAATCTAGATCAGTATATATGAAGGTGACTTGCCATAAAATAGGGGGTTGAGAAGTAGTATATAGAATATTTATCATGTTCTTAATTGCCACCTCCACTTCCAGTTTCAGCTTATCTTTCCACCATAAACTAGGCCTCCTACTAGACACCGGGATCAACATAGAAACCATTTGGATAATTGAATGTCCTTTTTAACTTACCTAGAACATTTTTTTTTTGTTTCCATCAAAAAAATTATTCCTTGACAATACGAACTATCCAGGGTCGTCCTACTCCTTGACAATTCCATGTTAATAATAACATGGCTTGTGTAGCTATTTGAGGCCAACCACCACCACCGTGTTTGATGTTGTTGGGGTATTCTCACCTAGTGGGGAATAGGGGCTTGGAAAATTATTTGGCTCAACCCTATATCCATACGACTTACATCCTATCCTTCTTCTTGATTGGCCTCTTCATTCTGTGGTACCATTCCTAGTCTTACTTCCAATTGGACTAGGTGTTCTAAGTTGTTTATTTTTATTTTTTTGATAGAAACAGTAGGATTTCGATTAAATAAGAATATCCGAGAGGAGGAGGGGCACAATGAAAGATGGTGCTTCCTCCTCCCATACAGCCACACAATCAACATTAATAGCGTGTCTAGTTAGCTTATGAGCTACCTTATTTCTTGTTATTCTAACTATAGATACATAATAATAGCAAAAAGTACGTAGTCTAATTATGATATCTGCTAAAACAGAGCCCAAGGGATCAAAGTCATTGTCAACATCTATGAGGATCTTCAACACGTTATTGGAACCCCCTTCCAAGACAATTTCATCACAGCCTCGTTGCACAACAAAGCGAACAACCTCCCTAGCAGCTAAAATTTTTGTCATTTGTGCCACACAAAGAGGAGAGGACTTTCCAAGACAAGCCAGCAACAAAGATACCTTGTTCATCTCTTATTGCCACGGCTACTCTAATCGCTCCTTTTACCTCGAACATGGCTCCACCAAAATTAACCTTTAAAGAGTCTATACTTGGGGGGAACCACTAAGAGGTGGCCTTTGCTATTGCTAGTGCCAAAACAGTGGACTCTACTGCTTGTTCGTACTGTGCAATATATTTAGCAAATTTATAACTTAATGACGCAGGGTCCCTTTTCAAATTCTGAAAGAGCACTTCATTTCTATTCCTCCAAATTAACCAGCAATAGACTAAGAATATGGAGAATTGATATGGGTTCATCTGTTTTGACATTTCCCACAACCAACTATAGATTTGGCTTATAGGATGCTGCAACAGGTAGTTTAGTGGACTGGATTCCCATGAGTCATTGGCCTAAGCATATTCCTTCACCATATGCATCACAGTTTCAGCTTCTTTTCCACAAACACAACATATTTCATCTATTCGGATCATCCTTCGCATAAGATTTTCATTAGTAGGGAGAGTATTAATCGCCATTCTCCAAGCAAAGATTTTAATTTTATTTGGTAACTTCTGATTCCAAATGAAATTCTAGTTATTGTGTTCGATACCTGAGGATGTAGAAGCAGCTTTAAGATTCATTGAGCGAGCCAGATTTCGGTTAAATGCGATACGATATTCACTTTGGACAGAAAATCTACCCTTCGAATCATAATGCCATATGAGCTTATCTTCCATTAATGAGGAACCCAAGGGCATTCGCCTGATACCTAGTTTTGTTGCAGAGGCTTCCTTTGAGACCTTCTATTTACTCTGAGCCTTGTTCTTGGAGGAGCTTTTTGCTTGTGCTTCCCTTTTTCTAAACTAGCTATTTCTTTTGAAGATTCTTCGATATAATTATTCTGGAAGGTAATTCTAAGTAGGGTGATAATATCAAGTCTTGGTTTCTTATTGTGATAAAACCTATCCGACTCCTTTTCAGTTTCTTCCTGGGCCTTTCTTTTCAAGTTCATTTTCCCAAAGTTAGTAACCAAGCTCTAATTTTATTTATAAATAGCCAGAAGGTTTGGGGTTACGTAAATGGAAAATGACATTTTATGGAATAGTTGGCTTAAAGGTTTATTGGATTGGGAGATGGGTATTAGGTCCAAAGTATCTTGATTAGGGCCCTCAGGGGGCACTATTACGAAATACTTTGGTTGGATTGGGTTCATGTTTGAGAACTCAGGTTGAAAGATCTAGATAGTGGGGATTGTGGTACTTTCAACTTTGTCATTTGTCGCATTCGACTGTGAGGTATTTCCCGTTTGGATATCCTGTCTCATACCCATGCGTTCACACCACTACCTTCCTGCCATTCCATTCCCACTGTCCTTTTCTTTTAGATATTCCTTATGTGCATAGCGTGCCTCTTGGATATTGGCTCTGTTTGATTCAGATTGTTGGGTAATAACGGTTTCCACTCTACCATGCTTTTTAGTAAATGTCTATTCACCTTCCGGCACCGAAGATTCGAAAGCTACTGTCTCTTCATCCAGATAATCCTTTCCATTCTTTTGTGATCTCCAAGTCATTTAGTCTTCTTTCAACTTCTTTGTTGACCAATTTTTCTTGAAGAAACCTTTTTTCCCACAATTGGAGATGCACGAAGCCCTAGGCTGGTCAAATTATCCCCTGTTTCTTTTTTTGAACATTGGCCCCATGAATGACCTAATCTCCCATAGAAATTGCAAAAGTTCGATAATCGTTCATACTTAAAAGTAACCCATAAATCATCAAGATTTTCCCTAATAAGAAAAAAATATTTATTAAGCGACTCAATAATGTCTATTAAGCATCTTACTCAAAGAAAATTTTAACTAAACAACAACCCCTCTTTAGACTCCTCGAATTTTGTAGTCATACCCAACCCTTTCCTTATTCTCCAAGCGTTACTCTTAGTCATCATATCAAAAGGGAGCCTCCATATTTAAATCTTCTTCAATGAACATTCTAGAATGTACAAGTAATATAAGGAGAAGTATAATTATTTATTTAGCTGAAGAAGGAAAATGGAGAGAAAAGAAAAGAGGAGGGAAAGTGTACCCCTTGCGCCCACCAAATTCAATTTGCCAAATCCAGACGAAAAAGTGGAGAGAGAAGGTGGACATCATAATTGCATTTGTTAAATTACTTTTGTGCCCTTCAGGTGGCTGTTGGTTTAACTTTTTTGGAAAAACAAAAACACGTGGAGTCCACCTTTCTGTACTTCATTCAATATACAAAGAAAATAATATGAGATCCGCATTTAATAGGGCATTTATGGTATTTAACATATCATTTATTTTTTTATTTTCTTTTTCATTTCAAATAAAATAATAAAAAAATTTATTAAATATCCCTAGCTCAGAGGGTTACTCAGATCTTTCGTTTGTGTACTCTACTCGCTCCATGAAGGTCTAATTCATTAATAGTAATTGGAGGACGGTTAGTGTATGTTTTGCATGACTCTAAAACATTATAGCTAAGGAGCGGAATTCAGGTCCCCTAATTGCCAAACGGTTTCCAAAATACCTCTCAATTTTTTACCCTTTTTACCAAACAAGAATGAGGAAAAACATCTTCCAATTTTTTATCCTTCCTATTTTCCATCTTTTTTACCAAACATACAATAATAGAGACCTAAAATGTCCTTATACATATTTGAAGACTAGATATTTGCACAAAAGATTCTGAAGACACCATAAAAGCATAACATTAGACAATATCATAGGTGATGAGTTTTTATTAAACAAGAATCAAGCAAGCAAGTCCTAGCTTAAATTCAAGATTTTTTTCGTCTGTGTCAGAGTTTTTACTTAATTATATTTTTTACAACACACAATAAACACACACAAAATAGTTAAAAAAACAAAACGAGTTGGAGTAGTTTACCATTCAAAATCCTACGAACATTCATCATTTGTAGAATTATTTTTCTATATTAACAAATTTTAATTTTTTTTCTCTATGTTTTTAACTGATAACAGACTTTATTATATTTTGGTTTAAAAATTTAAATTCATTTAATGCAATTATTATACGAACAAAAATTGAATTTGTATTTTTGCACCTCAAAAATGAGAGAATATTTTTAAATAAATAATATTAATATTTGAATAATTATTTTTTTTGTATCTATATTAATATATTATATTGTCAGGGGTTTTATCTAATATTTTTGTCTAGAGCCCAAATTTGTGTCTAGTCGCCCCTAAAATAGACGAAAATCGAAAGCAACCGGGATTAGGGTTTTAGAAAGTACTTAAATTGGGATTTGAAAAAAGTAAGACTTTAAAATCCTGGTTCAACCAATTGTCAAGTAACGTCCCGGTTTATATCCACAACACACTACAATTCTATTAAAATTTGGGTTGAATCCAAGTTTTACAGATCTAATGTTTAGTTTTTGACTTGGAAAATGGATTGATGGACCTAGATTTTTCAATTTGGTTGTGGTTCATGTTGAACTCGTCAAAGTAATTCCCAATTTGTACTTACCCTTAAAAAAAAGTAGGATTAATTGCAAATTATTCCTTCAAAGTTTGGTTGATTTTTCAATTGACTCCCTTTTATTTTAATTTCAACGAGAATTTGTTGTGTCGTTGTTTTTTCTTTTGCTTTGGATGTTGTTGCTTCTCTTTTTTTGGGTCTTGAACATTTGGATCGTTCATGCTATAATGTTAGCTCAAGTCCTTTGAAAGGTTAGGTTTTTTTATGAGTAAAAACAAAAAAAGGTAAGGTCTGAACAGATGGTCTTTAGTCATTGCTATAGCTCCATGCACAAGAATGCATGCTCTTAATTCATTGTAGCTCGATCCTCAAATTCCAAGAACTTGAGGTAGGCATCACCCTTGCTTTCTTGTAATCTTACCAGTGTTTTAAAACCGACTTTGGCTGGTCAACCAGCTGAATCGGTCGCCTAACCGGGCTGGTTCTAATTAAAAGCAGTTTATGTACAAAACTCGGGTTAACCCGTTAAACCGGTCAAAAAATTAGTGACCCGTGAGAATCGGCTGATTTACAAAACCGGACGGTTTCATTCATTTCTATAAATATCAGATTTTTTTTTACCCTTTTTACCTCTTTTGTTTTTGCCCCTTTTGCTGCCCTAAATCGATCCAGCCTCCAGAAGCAGAAGAGTCGCACAGCGCCTCCACCACACCACCAACGAATCAGATCATCAGACCAGCCTCGCCTTCACCACACCACCAACGTGAGCAATCAGATCATCAGACCAGCGCGCGCGATCAGGCACAGGCAGTCAACTCTAGTCCAGTGCAGTCCACCAACAGGCAGTCGACTCCAGTCCAGTGCAGTCCACTAGCAGCGACTCCAGTGAGTTTCCCTCTCTCTCTCTCTCTCTCTCTCCCCCTATTTCTCTGTCTCAGTCCAATTCCTCAATTTGTACATACAAGCGTGTAATTTGGGTTTTTTTATTTTGCAATTAGATTCTTTGATCAATGGAATGAGGGTTGTTCATGTGTTTGCTTGATCAAAAAATTATAAGCTTTGTTGTTGTTGGGTGCAGAAAAAAATTTAAGGCAGTGGATGTATTTGGAAGTGAATGTAGCCAGCTTGTGAGTGTAGCTCTTGTCCCTACTTAAATTCAACTCCAACTTTTATACTTAATATTTATCACTAAAGTCAGATTTCTACAATTTACAAGTTATTATTTATTTATGAAGAACCTGTCCACATTGTAAATGATCTGATCATTATGTTCAAAATGTCAGGCATTTGATTTTGATTGCTGGATTAGTTGCATTTAGGTTGTGTTCAAGATGTTGCTTTGATCATTGTTTACTAGCAGTGTCAGTGGCTTTCTATACATTGAAATTAGATACATGTTTGATGAATTTTCTCTACTTAATTTTACATGTTTGATGTTATTTTTATAATTATTGTGATTTTTTAGCCTATTTATTATTATTTATAATTATTTTTTAATTTTTTATTATATTATCGGTCCGACCAGTGACCCGATGGTTGACCAGTTGACCCGGTCCCTTCACCGAATTGATGTCCGGGCCGGGTTTTAAAACATTGAATCATACTGATCATAAAAGAATAGAGTAATACTATATGAAGAACTTATGAGTCTTAGGAAGAATCTTCTCGTTGTATGTTAAAGGAGTACAAAGGCTAAGTTTGTCACTAAATCCGGTTGATTGGTGATGGTACTCAAAATTGTTGTACCAAGTTGCAGAATAACTGTTGTGTGAGGTCTAGTGGGAGCTTTATGAATGCTTAGGTTAACGGAAAAGTAGCCATTGATGTTGGATCAAAGAACAAGATATAAGTGGTTCACCTCAGCTAATATACTAAAGTTGCGTCCACTGTAATGGAGACTCTTGTATCTTTTGGGAAGGGAAAATTGTATTACTTGAAAAAGAAGATAGTAATTACAGTGAGTTTCTTGGCTGGGAGCCTTCTTTACACAGTATTTCTTAGATAAAACTCAGGAACCCCCTTTTGTAGTGGCTTCGTCTTCTATTTATATATCTGGTCATCTAGGGTTTTTATGATTCTTTCTTTTCTTGGCTAATTTTGTGATCTCTTCTTCATTTGTCTTGTAGCGAGGTCTATCACTTTGATGTATTCTATGCCCACGATCCTTAGAAGCGGAATGTATCCAAACATTCTCTTTATCAAAGAATAATTGTTCGTTAGAGTCAGGCAGTCCCCTGGACATGTGGCCCGACTGAAGCTGCTTGGGGCTGTACCGAGCTCCTTATTCTCGAGCAGGCACATGTTACCATGTTGGAGCATCTCCAACACCCTTGCCAACCACTGTCTTTTAGCCATTTTAGCGAGTAAACACTCTGTTCGTGTGCTTCAATGCCATCGCCATTCAGCTCGCCAAAATAGCCGAAATATTTTTCCTCGCCAAATCTGCTGAGGGCAATCCACTCACCATTCAGCTGCCTTCCTTCCATTTCTACACAACGACACAACCGTCCTTCCATTTCCTCCTTCAGGTGATGTTTTTATTTACATCAAATTGAGTCAAAGCACAAGCCTTGCCTCCTCTGATACTTTCTGATAGCTCTGATACTTGCTGAGACCAAACATTTTGATTTTGTATTTAATTTTTATGCATTGAAATTTTGTTTCTATGTTGACTCTCAAGTGCTTTTGTGCTGTTTTTGTTTTTATGTGATATTTGGTTTCTTCAACTGGGTTCAATAAGTTTCTTGAAATTTTTTGAGATGAGTTTATTTTAATTGTTTACAATATGTTTGATGAATTGCCTCAATGAGAATTGAAGTTTGTATTTGGTGGGTATGGGAATTGAAGTTCACATAAGTTTAATCTTGAGTCTTCTTCTTTCTCGAATGGGCTGTTTTGAAGCTTCTTGATAGGTTATGAATCCTGGTCTAATTTGATTAAAGCTGCAGATATTTTCTTTTTCAATATATAGCATTATGATCACAATAGTATAGAATTGATCATATTGGAGTCTTTTTGAATTAAAACCTTGTTAACTTCATAGCTTGAATTGAATTCTCTATTCATATTGGTTTGGTTACTTTAATGCTTTGCTCTGTATTTTTTTTAAAAAAAACTGCTTTCCTATATTTAATTTTCTGGATTGGGGGTGATGGGGAACTGTTCTTTCTTAACTTGAATAAGACTTTTTGTAATTGTGCATATAATTTTGAAATCTTTATGTCTATTCAGCTGTGTTTGGTGATGAAGCTATGTGTTATTGTTTTTGATTAAGCTGATGAGCTATGGAGTTCTGTGTTGAGTTGTTGATTGGTTGAGGTGGAGAAGTGGTGATCTGGTTGAGTCTGTTTGACATTATCTGGTTGTAGCTGGTTTTTTGATTTGGACAATGGTCTGTGTCAGTGGTGTTCTGCTGTGAGTTTGGAGAGTAGTGCTAGGGGCTGAGTGCATTTGTTGTGCATTCTATATGTCTGGTCTGTTTTTGCAGTAGGGGATTGGAGGTTTCTGGATTGGAGGGTTGCTGTGGACTTTTTGCTGGTCTGGTGTGCTGTTCTGCTCTGCTTCAGTATGTTGTCTGCTTTTCTGGCAAATTGCTGTTGTGAGTTGTGCTGAGTAAGCAAGGGACTAGGCTGTGTGGGGTTCATAGCATGCTGGAATGGGGTTTTCAGCAGCTGCGGGAAACTGATCTTGACTGTCTGAAGCTAGTTCTTTTAGGCTGAGGTGGTTTGAAGCTTCAGTTTTGATGACAAGAGGAGTTGGGCTGCAGTGGAAGAAGCTAAGCTAGGAGGACTCTCTTTCACAACTAGAAAAGGGATTGTTTGCAGAGTGCCAGAAAACAATTGCTTGTCTTAGCCGACAGTTGAAATCTCTTGCAACCCTGGAAGACTACAATATTCCAACAGAGTAAGAGCAGGAGTTGAAGCGAAGATCAATGATAGTGAGGAACAAAAAAAAAACCAAAAAGCAATAAAGGAAACTGATTTTGAGTCTTATATGATTGTAAAGCAGGGGCTTAGTCATTATTGTTAGAAACTAAGCATTGAAAGTGTATCAGCTTTGTATTTAGATACATGTTCCCTCTTTCAACTTGATTTGTGCAATGACCTTTGATTTCTTAGTTCTGTGACTGCGAATTTTGTATTACACAACTTCATATTATAAAATCATTACCAAGCTTTTGTCCCTGTTATTGATCTAAAAGAGATGAGTAGGATGCAAACTTGGAATTAAATTACACCAAAGAATTTTAATAAAGAAAAGAAAATTACAGCACCAAAAAGCAAGCCTAAATTGGAATTAAAGACCATAATAGTTCAAATTCTAAATTAAGTTTTTCATACCATTGTAAAATTTAAAATTTGATGACGTGGCATGACACGTCATCATTACGACGCTTACATGTTACGACACATAATATTTTTGAATTATATTATTTAAAGTTAATTAAAGTAGTTAGTTAAAATAGAGAGCGTGGTTGAAGTGAATTTTAAAAAATGGATAGCTAAAGTAGTGAATATTGTATTTAAATATATTTTAAGTAACTATTTTATTGAGCGTGGTTGGAAATGCTCTTATATGTGACCGGGTTGATGTATTCCGAGCTAGTAGATCTTGGATTTTTACGTTCTTGGGCTGTGGCCCAATCCCATGGTAAGGTGGGTGCTCTGCGGGTGGGCCATTAAAGTCATCTTTTAAAGAGGCCCATTAAATGCATTTGATTCCAAATGGACGGCCCAAATTTAAGCCCATCATTATCAATTGGTAACAAATCTGACCCATGCCCACTTGTGCTTTATTGTGTGTCAACTCCCTATTGGGCTTGTGGCATGGACTTGCAAGTTTTGATTTGTATTTATTATTGAAAAATGTTATTTATATTTAATTTAATGACATTATTTACTGATATGATATATCATAATTATTAAATTGATAATCAGTTTTAATTAATATTAAAATTTACTGTCAATAAAAAAATGATACATTAATAAATAACATCCACAAATAAAATTTATATAACATTACTGTTTATTTTTTATTAAATATGGGGACTACAAGTCAAGATCATTCACCTCAGCAAATTTTACCACTTTTAGACCTGACAACTCTACTCAAAACGGGTTGACCTGTTCATTTCATCCATAAATACTTGGACTTTACTATGGTATCCAAATTAAAAAAATTTGTATTATATTGAAATTCATTTTGTGATAATTTTTATCATATTTATGGGTATTTTTATTACTGTTATGATACTCAAAAAATGATAAAAATAATTATCATAACAGTGATAAATAAT